AACTTGAAAGTGAAACGCCAACTACTAGGTGCACGTATACACATAAAAAAAAGGAAGTGGCGTATACAGCCTTGTGATCTGACCGAATTTGCATAAAGTTATCTCAAGGCTCTTGTTTTCCCGCAAAAACTACCATCTTCCGTGTACCTTCTACAATGACAATACGATGAAAAATAGAAATACAAGATACTTGTTATTACCGTTTGCTATAGTCTCTACCATACTAGAAAATATTATTCGCAAGAGCCAAAAGCGTCAATTAAAATACAGTCATGTGCGCGTAATTTTGACACATGACTAATTTCGACTTATATAGGCTGCAACTTATAAGCTGTTTGCCGAGTGATAAAAGCTCCGAGTTATCAGCGCCGCGATATTTCGACTCCACTTTTATTAATTTTTTTTCGGTTACACGTTACTTGCTCAATCGTCTTCGGTGCTCGTAAGGATTTTTGATTAGCATGTTTTATCAGGTCTCGGCTAAACCGTGTCTATTAAATGGAGAAATATTATCTTTTACTTAAAATTATCGTCATCGATACCACGAAGGCACATCATGCCTCGGCGAGTCCGAATTTACGGGCCTGTACTGAAACATTTCAATTTGGCAAACGCTTTTTCGAAGTTGACTTTTCAAGTAAGTAATTCTGTCGTTCCCAATGTCTTCTTTGACTTTAATTTTAAAACCTGTATATCGAATGGAAGTAATTTTTTTTAAAACATTGTTTAAAATTGTTTGAAGATGCTATTTCAACTTATTTTATTAATTATTTACAACGATTTTGAAAAGTGTGAAAGTAAGTCTTGGAAATATTGGTGAAAAAAAAAATCTATTGCAAAACTTGTATTTTTTTTTTAGAACTTTTTAATTTTGTTGCGTACGATCTAAATATTAATCTTCCGTGTTTTATCGATTATAATTTAAAAATAATCGGAAAATGGTGTGTACCACAGAACCCTAGTATTTTTTTGTTAATTTAGCAAAAAAAAATCTTCTTTAATTCATTGTAATGAAAATTACTTCCAATGAATCAACTATAACTGTATCACGATAGATGTACGGATATTTAATAGAGAAAATAGCATAACTCGAGTTGACATATACAGCCAAAATGCGTTCAGCAGCCTCGGCTTGTATAATAAATAAATTTATGTCCATACATCGTATGCTATAGTATAGACTGTATATTCGAACACACACACATGTACACAAACATCCGTACTGCTTTGAACTCAAGTTTAATTACGTAATACACGCGCGCTGAATTTTAACGATTTTCGCAACAACGTCGTGGCGGGCCGGGGACGCGTTTCGTTTTGTAAACAGACGATTTGAGAACACCAAGAAAGGTTAGGTCGCTGCTCCACTGCTGTTACTGTGATTTAGTTTTACAAACAGAGAAAACAGTACTTACTAACTCTAGTCTACGCGAGTACATACAATCGGACTGAACTAAATACGTTGTTTCGCGGTTTAACTCTTAATTTGCACCTCGAGACTTGCTGACGATTGTAGTATTTACCTACTAGTTGCTTATAGTTAATTGTTGTACTATCTAAATTATGAAAGTTACTTTTGTTTCGCATCCATTGACACATGAGCTTATAATTCGTTGGAAGCAATGTGATTAACTAATTCAATTTACTCCAGATGAATCTTACCTATATTTTTGCCTCAAAACATATCAAAATCAGCGCATTTATAGGAAAAAGCTCAGTGTCGAAAACTTTTGTATACACTCTTCCGACAAAACCTTTATTTTTCACATACGAGCACGCACGTAAACAAAGTTGTGTGGGCTCGCATCTTTCCCTCATAAACATCATATGGCTAGAGTTACTCCACCCACCCGAGAAATTTCTTTCCTCCCTACTTATACTTTAATAGCAGCGCTGAATGTTCAGTAAAAAGTAAGAAAGAGCAATGCTTCGCAACTATGCTTGTGTGGCTGTCTGGTTTTTTTGTTTTGTTTTTGTTTTTTGTTTTCTCTTTTTTGAGATATACTCTTGGACTTTCAAGTGCTCGTATGCAGTGAAAATAGAACTAAGTCAAGCACTTACTTAAAAAAAGTTGAACCAGTTTCCTTGTAAACATACTTTTAAATTATTTGGTGAATGTATATCATGCTAGAAGACATCACATCACCCATCACAGCTAGAATAAACTGAACTTTAGAATATTTTTCCCCTAAAAGTAAAATCATTAAGATACCTAGGACGTATTTGATACCAACAATTTTCATACTTTTTAGTAATTAGATTGAGAAAGGACAGAACTACCAACTCAGAAAAAAAATGCGAGGAAAAATGAAGACAGCAAGTTTGATTTTGAAGACACACAAATTTTAGATCAAGAGAGGAATAGACTAAAACGCAAATTTTCAGAGAGGAATATAACACATATCACCCAACGCATCTTATCTGGACCAGAAGAGTTCAATGGTCTATCAGGATTTTATGAGCGTGTAACACCTATGACTCATTTTATTTAACATCATATCCTGGTGTATCAGCTATGCACATAATTGAAGATTTTGCTTTTACGACTGATCAAACGCACAATAGATTCTAAGATCTACCAGAAGATTGCATACCTCTCGAAATGTTGCCAGAGGCTATAACTGATGCTCTAGCAGGTGCAGACCTCTGGAAGGTGCAGTTGAAGAACAGAACGTTGCCAATAACGGTGACGATGTCGAATTAAGTGCTGCGATCCAAGAAGAGCAGCAATACAATTTAGAACAACAGAAACAAGATACTGGCGAAGTTGAATACACGAAGTCAGAAGCTTCAAGCGATGATGGCAGTGTGTACGACCCTTATCGATACCTCGATCGATACCACAGGACATGACCAACCGCAAACTTATTGGGATAGGCGATGTCAGTCAAGCTTTCAAATGAGCAGAGACAAACAGTAGAGAACTGTGGAATCTCAGAAAAAGGTTTTAATGCAGATTTCCAGAGATTCTCTTTAAATTAAGAAGTACTTTTCTCATACATTGCAGGTTGGATACGAAATTTCGAACAAAATTATAAAACAGGAGCGACATTACTAATGTCTTGAACACCAAACTGGTTCGATCTTTTAACCGATCAAGACTTTACGCTGAAGGAAGCGTCAGAGGCGTAAGCGCACACCAACTTGAGCACAGAACATCCGTAGCTAGACGAGTTATGTCATACAGAATGTCAAAAGAAGATGAAAACTGATGACATACGTGGAGCTGTTATGACTTTAATCGGTATCCAGATTCCTGCAGAGTAGATTGCAACAAGAAATTCAATGTTTGAGTTTGGTGTTGTACAAGCTCTAAACGTAGTAACGAAGTTCACAGCGCATACTATACGGAGAATGAGCGATTACGCGCTCCGTTAATGAATTGCAGCGTTCACAAGAAGAACAAGAATTAAAGCTGCATACCCGGCGTCACTCGTCATCCTCAAGTGTTGTACCAAGACAATTTCAGTGCAAGGGATCATCAACACCCTAAGCCTGTAATGATGGCTTGTATCCAAGCACATCATCATTATCATTGATACAAGCTGTTTTGTCACTTCAAAAATCACTTGAAGTATACCTGTATTCATTGATTCATATAACTTAACATTTTCCAACTTTTTTTTTGTTGGTAAATTTTTGTAATTAGGTTTTTTCATGAAAAATTCTATTTGGTCCGTCTTGTATAATTTTGAAAATTAATCGTTATACGTATTTTTTCTTTTTTCATAAAAATAAACATTGAAAAAAATTATTATAGTACCTAAAAATTATGGTTTTTTAAAAGTTACAGAGAGCAATCTGACGTTGTGAAGTATAAATTATGTGTGAATGTTCTACAATTAAGTACAAAAAATGAGCCCAAAAACATAAAAAACGGTTTAAAACTTTTAAAGATACAGCGTTTTGAAGAAAGTGTCGAACATACAAAATAAACGATTAGGTACATCAAATTTGCTCAAAATTTAACCTTGTCTACATAGTACTAATCCAAGTATTCCTAAAAAATATTTATTTTCTCTCGAGCTATAGTAAAAATCAAAATGACTGTTTTTCGCATGTATTATAATGAATTTTTCAATTAAAAAAAAAAAAGAAAAAAATTACGTGTTGATTATTTTTCAACATAGTACGAGACGGACCAAATGGAATTTTTCATACAAAAACCTAATTATCGTACTTTATTCCACCTATCTCCTCGAAATTAATTCAATATACAAAGTTTCTAAAGTCTTAAAAGTATATTAGACGTGATAAACAGACGAGTCGGTATATAAACACTCACTGAGAAGACGACATCTCTGTATTCTTATCCAATGCAGGCTTTACCCTTGCAAAATGGTCCGAAGTTGGGCAGGCTTTGTCGATTTACCAGTTTGCTATCAAATTTCTAACAGGGATAAGGATGTATAGAAAAGGCACTTATCACTTAAAAATTATGAACAAGACAGTGATAAATAAGTGAATTGATGTTTAGAAAACTTCTAGCTCATTATTACTAAACGTTTTTAAATTAGTTGAGTTGAACCAAATCATTGTATAATTTGTATTTACTAATGTAATAAAAAATAATCTTATGATATACGACCAAACTTAACTTGTAGTCCGAATAAATTGGGCAATAGTTAAATAAATAATAAAAAAAATAATACATAAAATAGTTCATACGTGGATATATTCAAAAAAGAACGATCAGAATGTAAGACGACATATACGACTCTAAGTAGTTCATTGTACATAATGTCTACGTATAACATTCATATACGATAATTATATTACATAAATTTACAAGCATGCAAATCTCTGTAAATGTATAAGAGAATTGAGACAGCTGACCACATACTTTAGGCTTGTCAACTTTTCATAGAAAAAAGATTAGATATGATCAATAAATTAAACGAGCTTTCGTAGTTTGATAACAAAAGAATGATTGAAAAATGCGATACTGTTAACATATTTTTACATTTTATTACTGAGATCAATATTAAATAGTAAGATTATGAATTGCTACATGTAATACACCTACTGATCTACACATTATTTCCAAACATTACGAAAAATGAAATTGATGAGATATAAGCAGCGTCAATTCGTGTTTTTCAGAAAAATCATATGTTTACACATATTCATAAATTAGCTAAACCAAAATTTTCAATTCTTGCGAGAACTTATTATGTATTTTATTCAAATATTCAGTCGTCTCATAAAAAAAAAATATTTTTGACGTGCTTACACTAATTAATACGTCAGAAATTTCCGCATGTAATATCGTTTTTAAGAAATTTTATATTTCGTTTAAGTAGTTAATTATAATTTAATGAACATTAACAAAAAAAAATTCAGACAAGTAACGCAAATTTAGAAAATAACCCCGATTGGCCAACCATGAGCTCGTTAAGTTTACCAAGCAAAATCGGTAACCTTCTTTTGCTTTGGAAATAACGTGAGCTGGAGCTTCGGACTTGGAAGCAATAAGACCAACTGACAAAATCATTGCACATTAAACGCATGGTTACAGTCTTTGCGCTTTAACAAAGTAAAATCGTAAGCATATTCATGGCATCAAAGTCGTGGGATCCAATTTTCCTATTTTTCTTCAGAAAATTGGTTTTTTTGTGTTAATACAAAAAATTTATCATTACAAGACTTGAAGTCTGTTTCATATATATTATAGACACTCTCTAAAGCCCGTGTACAAGGTGCACAATATAGATACATCAGTTAAATAAAGCAGTAGGTGTGCCGATACACGTATACGAAAGTAAAACTAAAAATACGGAAGACCAGTAAAATGGAGCTTCACGCGCACGGGACACGAGAGAAGAGCTATAGCCGGCAAACGGCTGATATTATTCTCCCTGCATGCAAGCAAGTGTATATAGTATCGGTAGGTATATACGCAGGTATAAAAATGTGCAGAAACGCTTCTCACTCTCTTTCCCTGCCCTGCCTCTTCGCGTTCTTCTTTGATTTTCTTATTCTCCCTCTGTCGCAGCAGCAGAGACAGACAGAAAGCGGCGCGCGCAACGCCATAGAACACCACATGCCACCCCATTACACGCGATACTAAGGGTATGTACGTACATACTCGCTTGGTGTGGTGTTACAAGCACCACAAAGTCACGAGAACGACAAACAACAAGAGCCCGTACAAGTTAATATACATTTTACCTTATTATACTTTTTGCCGGAGTAAGATATGCATGGACTGTCGCGAAGTCTAGCGCAACGACGTGGAGATTGATGAGCGGCGTCTCATTGTTCCGGCACTGTTGCGGTGTACTATCGCCGCTAGGTGATCAGAGCAGCCGGTTCACGATACAAATGTAATCGCGGTGCAAGTATGTAATATATCTCTCCGCTGTTTTCGGTATATCAGCCGCGCGGGAGAGACCCACTGCATCGGCGTATTATAATACAGCACTGAAATCGGCACTCCGAGTGGGGGGGTGTTGGAGAGCGAGATTTCGGAGTCGTCGGTGTGGGGCAAGGATAAAATCGGAGCAGGATGAGGAATCTATAAATTAATAACGCACGATACGAGGCAAATCGGCCGAATGGAGGCTCGCGCGACTCGGCGCTCCAAACAGCTAATGCGATACTAAAATCGTCGTCGTGCGCGCCGAGAGTACGAGTCGCTCGGCTCGCTCTCTTTCTCCTTCTTCTTTTCCTTCTCTCCTCCGGGCTATCGTTCGCGCGCTCTGTTGTATATACTACACATACATGGGTGTACCGGTGATGGGAGAAGCATATGTACACACATATATATGTATATACACACTGCGTGAGAGAAGCGCAGCAGCCGCCGTTGGGGCAGATGCTCGATAAGTGTATATATATATATATATATATGTATTATTATTATTATTATATATACGTGTAGCAGGAGGTGCAGGAAAAGGGGAGTGTGGAACCGGAGTCCGAAGAGCTTGGCCCGATGGGGCAGCTGATGGTGCAAGCCGAGCTTGGCCGAGAAGCGACGGGCCTCTGCGAGCGCTCTGGGCCTCATTTATATATACCTAGTCGAGATATCGTGCCGGGGATCTCTGAGCATTGTATACATGTAACAGAGAGGGGAGGATACGAGGGCATTTTTATACTCCGTTTGGTTGGGAAGAGGAAGAGGAGAGCCAAAGGGGGATACAATTATATTATCTCTGCGAAACGGAGCTATGAAGCTATATGTGTTTGTTGTGGAGGCATGGGTGTTTATGCGGCACCGAGATCGAGAGGAGTGTGGAACCGATTTTTTTCGTCGCTGTTACGAGCAGTCAAAAATTGTACGGTAGGTATAATGTTTGGATTGGGAAACGGAATCGCTCGCGCGACTTTTATTGGCTTTTAATGACTGTTCGTGGAAGCGTAATCGTTTCTTACTTTTATTCTCATTCGAATAATATCGCTGTGCATTTCAACTCGTGGAAATTTGTGCCACGGCCAATTTTTGTAGTGGAATCGATTTCATTGACGCTTCTTTTTCTTAAACAATTTTTTGTTTGATTTAAAAAAAAGTTAAATCAAATGCATTACGCGAATGGTCATTGATTTTTTCGAAGCGTCGAGTCGAATTTCGTAGGAGGAAAAAAACGCGTAATCGCAACGATTGCTTTTGCTTGGTAATGGTCCATCGGAATTTTTTGTACCTTTCGTTTTTTACATCAAAAACAACAGTCATTCCGTACAATTTCCTTTTTTTTTGAATGAAAAAGTCCTCCGTTCAACAAAAAATTTGTTACGAGGTAGAATAATAACGTACCATCATTAAAGGAAAAAAAATAATTAAAAGAAAAAACGAAAAAAAAAACTGACAATCGCTCTGGCTTTTTCTACCTTTCTCTGGTACTATATGCTTCAAGTGAACCGTATACCCACACATGCGGTAACTCCTTCACACACTTCACAGTACCTATACAGGGAGCGCATACAAAAGAGGAGACGGAAAATTGGCCTACGCGCGGTGTACGTATACTTATAATATACCTACTCCGGAAGTGCACAATAGGCACTACATCGTATACCTTCCATTCTCTAGCTCCTCCTCCCATGTGTCGTGCGAGTGCAACACGGCGCACCACCACACGTCCGGAAGGCCAGACTTGTGCACGTACATGCACTAGCGCACCACACGTGTAGGTACCAGCCGTCCTGATTTTCCGCCTCGGCGAGATTTTCCACCCCTCCGTGATGCTTTCGGCTCCAAACACACCCATGCAGAGTCCAACTGCGCGGACATTCAGTTTTCAATAGGACTGCAGATGAAAAAGAAAACGCGACCAGATCGAGGATGGTCAATGGGCATTGTTCGCCCGGGAGGGGACTCGTACAATAACGGTCTCCGAGCGCGCGCGCGCGCAGATCAATTCATCGATTATCGGCGACGAGGAGACACGTCTCCAAATGGCTATCAATGAATCTCTTTTATGCGCCAGCAGATAGTAGAGCGGTTTAATCAGCTGGGCCTCAATGATCGGATGCGCCGTTTTATAACTCACGTACAGATGCATGACTTTTCCGTTCTGCGTGGATGCTCTGTTTCAGCGAGATAAGAGAGCCACATGAATCGAGTCTTGTGAAAGCACTCGCACTCATAATATCATTGTGTTATTTAAATGAGCTTTATATCTAAACATTATTTAGAAAAGTAGGTACGGGTAGATACAACTATTTACATGACTCGAGTGCAAAACACAAAGGTGGTCTTCGAAGCACCAGGAGCTTTTCACTGTTTGCCCCATTCGGCAAAGTCCGCAGAGTCAAAGTCCTTCAGCGTCATGGGCCTCATGGAAATTGGCAGGCTGTTTTCAAACTCCTTGTACTCGTCGCTAAGGGGCCATGGATTTAAGTTTTCCTCGACCAGCTCTTCAGGATCTAAAGCTGAATCGAAGAATTCTTTGACGATGAACTCTGGTTCTGGATAGACCCTCTGATGTTTCGCTTGCTCGCTAGCTGCAACTGAAATTTATCATTTTCACCATAAAGTACACAATAATCATCCATACAAAGCATTGTTGGATGTATACATTTTTTGAACAATTTACCTGCAGCTTGCAACTGCTGAATGTAGTAAGGTGGGCAGTGCGAGAACTTGCACAGGTGACCAAAGTGACATTCCCCATTATTCAAGAACCTCTTGCACGGCTTCTTGGCGAGTTCTTCTTGCAAAATCTGCTTTGGATCTGAAAATCGTTGAAAGATTGATTGAACTGGTCACACGATGACAGCACTCGTTACAAGTCAAGTGTGCGGTACCAAATATTGATTTACCTCTGAATTGTCTGTAGTGATTTTCTCTGTTCTTCACGTGCTGGATCGATGCCAGATGCTTTTTTCTCACCCCAGCCTCGTCTTTGAAGGACCGGTCGCAGTACTCGCAGTAATAGTGCTTGCCTCCCATATCTTTCGCTGGTCTGCCCAAGACCAATTAACCTAAATTCGTTCTCCTCTGTAACTTGATTACTTTCACATGCCAACGAATTACTCAGTACTCTAAGGAATAGAGTGTATCCAAGAGTTATTTTTTCACTGATAAATTAAAACGTTTTTTATTTCAAATCACACAGTCCAGACGTAATGAATCGATGCTTCTGGAATACGTAAACAAACACTGCAGAGTGTATGTTTTTCTCTTAGGTCAGGTTAGGCCAGAGGGAAGTTGACTTTCGTAGCGCCACCTGCTGGGGAGCCTTAGAAGCGAAGGCGCCAAAATTCAAATTCGTTCGTGAACTATGCATTGGCAATTTTTAAAATAAATACACATGAGTAGACAATTTTTTTTTTTTTTTTCAGTAGGTGATGAGTTTATTTTAAACAAACAGATTACATTATAATACTTGTCCATACGCTCGATAGTGTAATTACAACTGCTCGTTACACGTGTCATTGTTTCTCATTTCTCTCGTTATAATCCTCTTCGCCATCTAAAACGCGTTTTAGCTCGTACAGTAATATTCGGCACCGCGTGCGTCGCTACTAAGTAGAAATCGTGAGTTTTTGCACTATACAAATACAAATGAGCAGGGGAGAACACGAAAATAATGATCAATCGGTACAAGCGTTGCGAGTATTTTTTATTTTATTTTTTTTTTTTTATCTGAATAACGCCTTTTTGTCAATTGGTATGAGAATCGAGGACTGTATAATATGTGTAGGAGACGAAAAGGGCGTGAAACTACTCGACACAGTTTGACATTTACCTCGTGGAGTAACGAAAAGTCCACGCCAATCCAATACGGTTTTCGATGCGGAGTACAATGCTTTTTGCAATTTTCATCTTCAACACCCTTTTCGTGTCCATATCCTACATTCCAGTTTTCTCGTTTCACCTTGGAGAAAATAAATAGGGAGGGGGGAAAAAATGGGAAAAGCTTTTAGAGCTTTTTTCAGCACAGGTGCACACCAGAGCAGCTATATGACGGGCAGTGGACGTAAAAGCAAAGCCGAAAGGGACATGAGGGGGGGGGGGGGGGGGGATTGACGTCAATTTAGTCGTGCAGCTCCGACTCTCGCGGCTCGAACGGTGGATAAGAGGATCCGAAGAAGAGACGCGGCGGGCAAAAAGTATAAGGGGCCGGTGGATTTGTTAGCTCGACGTGACGTTTTTCGTTACTAAAGCGCATCGAGCTCACGTTGTACCTCAGGGGTGGAAACGCGTACCTTTGGCCTTCCCTTTTTTCCCGAATCTATTAATACCTCGAGACGAAGGCTATCGGATGGGGAATCATCGCGCTGCATGATTATTCGGAGGGGGACTGGTGTGTGGGAAATTTATGGAGCACCGTGATGTGTAATATTTTCGTACGGTATTGGAGTCATGTGGCTGCGTTTGCACCATTGGTCGTACACTCAAGTGGAAAAGTATTTGGTTTAACTTTGGCTCCGTTTGTATATTATGCATGTATTATGTCGTTAAATATTGTAAGAGTGGCTGGCTTGGGTTTTTTTTTTCTTGTTTTTATAACATTACTTTATTTTTTCCTTTATTTTTTATTTATTTATTTTATTTTATTTTTTTTTTTTTTTTCAAGTGCATGCAGTTTTTAGGCCCGCTAAAAACAAGCTCCCGACAACTTGACGCGCCCAAGAAGCGGCACCGGCCTTGAAAATCATTACCGTCCGCAGCACAGAGCGTAAATACGTATACCCGAAGCACGGAACGGTAGAGATTTTTTTTTTTTTAATTTCCGAAAGTGCCTCTGAAATTCGAGAAGATTTTTCTCCTTTCTTCCTTGCCGGTGGTTTTTCCAGTCGCCAGAACGAAAAGTGAATCCTCGGGAATACGGTTCGTCTTTTTTTTTCATTTTCACGTGCTGCGCCCTCGAGCGTTTTTTTTTTTAAACGCGGAATTTGTCGAAGCAACGAAAAAAAAGGGGGTGAGGGAGGGGTAACGTCTCATGCAGTAACTGGTTTTTAATTAAAATTACTCGGAATGTCACTCGCTCTACTTACAAAACCCCGCGAGCCGCGTGTACTTTTATTTGTTTATTTTGTTTCTTTGGTCCGATTTTCACTGCGCAAATTATTGTGTGATTTTTGTGAGAATAATTTCGCTCATCGCACGAGGAAACTGATGCTTCGAGGTTTAAAAGTACAAGTAAATGCTCGCCGACAAGTTGTCACAAGCCAATCAGAAAATTCGTGAGGTAACAGCTACGGACTATTATTACTCGTGGTTGAAGGTATATGTATATATCACACGCAGACTTGGGCATGTATTGTTTTTCAATTGCCCTGCGTTACAATGTATTTTCTCGAAATGTAATGAATCCTCTGTAATGACAAACTTTATTTTTTATTACTTGTAGCAGAGTATTTGTCAAAATTTTTACCAGGAAAAGTAACGCGTTGTATTTTAGAGGAGACAAAAAAACTGAAAAAAAATACCATGATTTTCCGAAAAACATATCGCATTGCGTTCTGCTCGAAATTTTTTTTTTAATATTGTAATATGAGTACAGTAATTTAGCAAAAAATTTCTACCCAAAAACTTTTAATGTTTTAAAATCTGTAAAAAGTTGTGCCCAAGTCTGATCACACACTTGCGTTATGTATAAGAGTGCTTCGCTTCAACAGAGACATATTTATCTCGCACAAAAAGAACAAACGTAGAATAAAACGATCACTCGATTATTATTATAACTTTTTTTTTTCCAAACAATAGCTGATTTTTTTTACGGCCAGATGCAGCAGACACTCACAGACGCCATATCCCTAATCAGTTTTGTCGTTCGCGATACGGATTCAATCAGCCTCTCGTCCTTTTTCTTATCCTTCCTAAAATTATCACCACGTGGGCTTCTGCAATTCCATGGGGTCCCCTTTCGCCCACAATCATCGGTCCGTTTTGAAAACTTTAAAATCATCACGAGACTTTTGAAGGTAGATTATCATCATGTGTTATTCGTGTCCGCGCCTTTTTTCTCGGACATGACGTTTTTTAAGGAGGTTCGAGGATGTTTGTCCAGCGTCGCGTGAGGCTTTTTACTGTAATGGGGGGGGGGGGGCTTCTGTCTATTTGTGGCGGCAAATTGAAACGTATATGGATGAGCTTTTTTGCGCTTAGTCTAGGAAACCTTTGATTTGCGCGGAACGGAGGATCGTAAAAACCGGGACTTTTATGCTTCCTTGTGCAAGAGGAGTTTAGTGTACCATACAATTTCTTTTACTTTTCGTTTTTTATTAATTTTAATGGAAAAATCATTGGTCAACTTTTCTTTTTCTCCGAAAAAAGATAAATTTATTCCATGCTGCACTTTTAATTTGGTAATCAACTTTGGAGTGGAACGAAAATTCTTTAACATCCATTCTCGACTGCAGGCGTCTCTAATCCTTTTATCGGTACGGTTGATTCGTCACTTTTTTGTTACTCGATAAAAAATTCATAAGCATATTATTTCGAAAATTCTCTAGAGATTAATCGCACGACTTTTCCGCGACGTATCGATAAATATATTTATACGTGTATATAATATATTATATTAAAATTTGAGTTTTAACTTTTGTCATTTTATAATAGTAATACATCGACTGAAATCTCCGTAAATTGACTTGATCATCGTTAACCTACTGAATCTAATAATGATAACAATACAAATAATAACAATAATAATTACAATACCTTCGCCTTCGATGAACAACTCATGCGACAAATACCTCGTGCTTTTTTTTCAGCGAAGATGTTAAACACGTGAAAAATGAGTTGAATCGTGTTTTTTTTTTTTTTTTTTTCCTTGGTAAAGTTCGCGTCTTGCGACAGAAATTCGATTACACGGATGTCTTTGCGCCGAACAAATTAAACACAACGCGTATCGAATGCATCACCAGCGGATACTAGCTTCACATTCCAACTCGACTCTGAAGCCTTTCCAAACTCTCGGTGATGATTTTTTTTTTTTTTTTTTTCCATACATCGAAGGCGTCTATAATTTATATTTAAGTGGCGAAAGAAGAGAGAGAAAGTGGAAACGATAGGATGCGTCCATGGGATAAGGTTGAGGGCAGGCGGAGAAAGAAAATTGTTCCCTTTTCGCGTACAGCTTTCGCATGTGTCACTTCGCTATATCATCTATATATATATATATTTTTTTTTCTTTTATAGTATAATTATACCATGTATTACCTATTTATATTTTTATGTGCATATCATGTATGCGTAAGCATATTGTTGAGATGTTATCGTACAAGTCGAATCGCAAAAACACGCAGGTACACGCATTTCTTTTTTGTTTTAGGTACTTTTAATGTTTTACTGTGGGCGTTGCTTTGGTTTTCCGCCGAGTGAGCGCATCGATTAACAGGTAATGCGTGTTTTCATCGGAAAATGAAGAGAAAAAAAAAAAAAAAACAAACTCTTTCCTTTTTCATTCACTTTATCCGCCACACTATATTCTCGATATTGATGTACTCAACCGCACCAGTACCCATCATCGTTGCCCGAAATGCAGCAGGTGCCATGTACTTTTCCAAAACACTCGCATCACGACGCATTAAAGCGCAACAATATTCGCTACCACATCTGATATTAATGTTGTTAGCATTTCATTCCCGTAAAAATTTCGTATTCACAGCTGTTTACTGATTGGATCGAATAATTACAGATAATATAGTATGACCCGTACCAACTTGCGCACGACTAGCCCTCAAGCCTCGCTCCCCCGTCCACCCTATCGATTCCCGTCGAACGCAATGGCGTGGAAGTGAAAATTGATTTTATTACAAAAGAAAAAAGAATAAAGTGCAAATTCGCGCGCCTCTTCGCGTCTACGTGCTATACATATCATACGACGTATATATATATATATATATAATAACGAGCAAAATCTCACACACACACGCGCGCTCGAGTGAAAACGTGAGTGTATATAGTTTTATCGATTTCCGTCTGGTCTATCTCTTTGTACGCATGGCGTCCTGGAATGTGTGTGAGCGTATAGGGTGCAGCTTGCGCTCGGCGCCCCGTGTTGTTACTCGGCGATGTGTCCGTGGACGACGGTCGCCATGTCCCGCCGCGTCGACGGGCCTTACTTTTTCTCGTCCACGTTGGGGATCGGGACCTCCTGGCGGACCTTGTGGCCGCGGAAGCTCGCCTGGATCTTCGTTGCGGCCTTGTGCAGGTCCGGGTCCGAGAGGTCGATCCCCTCCAGCTCGTCCACCGTGTCGGACACCTGGGAACACGGAAAACAAAGACAAATCGTTAATTTGCCGCTTGGTTCATTTTTCCTTCTTTTTTTTCCCTCCATACTTTAAGGTAGCACTGTGAATGCATTGGTAGTCAATTGCAAAACTCCGCCCTCAAATAGACAACAAGTTACCTGTAGGGATTGGCAGTACAATCAATTAAAAAAATTACCTAACTTATCCTCCTTACGTTTCGTTACTTTCGATCTTTGCCCATCATGAAAAAATGTCTTATTTAAAAAAGTTAACATATTTATTACATATAGTGCATGGTTTTGTTTATATATTATGTGCGGGTACAAAAATTTAAAGTCGTAATAGCCAGTAGAAAAAGCCTGAGTTCTAATTTATTAAAAAAATGCTGATCTACTTCGCACATTTTTATATTTTTTTACTTTTTTTTCGTTTCAACTAGTCCATCGGAATATGCTTGTTTAATTTACATTAGCCATCGAGTTTAACCTATAAAAACAAAAGTATCTTCAATTTTTTTTCTTCACGTATCACAGGATCAATAAAATAAAAATAAATTACTGGAAAACGTTTTTTGTAGACGTATACATTTATTTTATTGTCCACATGACGACTGTATTGAACTTTTTGTACTACCCCATTAAAACTTAAACCATAACGGTTGCGTTAAAAAAGCATAAATTTCCTGAAAAGTTTTCGGAAGCGGATGTATCTGACTAATGGCTCGCGTTTAAGGCCACTTTGTATCAGAAACAGCAGTGCAATAATATCCCAAAGAAAATACAAAGTCGTAACGGCCCATTTCCATGAAAATGAAATTAACATCGGAATTCATATGCCCCAGGAATATTAATAGAATTTTTTCATGCCCGAGACTTTTAACGATCCTCTTCAGCTTTTTCAGGAAAAATATCCTTTTTTTCCGCAATAACGTTCCCCTTATATTTGACGGTGATACCTCGAGGTTTTATATGTGTGTTCTGTTTGAAACTTTTTGTCGAGCATCAGTAAAAAACCGCACCCTTCAAAATCTATCATGCGCATGTAACGTATACCTATACTTTTAACTTTTTTTTTCTTAAATTCTTTATAATGGTGTACTGTACTCTTGAAGTTTGAAAAAGTTATAAGTATACATCTTTTTCAAAATAGTACATATACTCTTAATATACACTGTTTGAACAGTGAAACAGTCGATTTCACTATTTCAAGGTTGTATACTTAGAATTTATTTAAACTAGTGAATATTTACTGTTAAACAGTGGATTTTACCCAATAACCCAATAACGTTTACTATTTGAATTAGTTGGTTAACTTATTGTTGGAATTACTCAAAATAATGTGTATGGAATGTACAATTTTCTTCATTCAAGTTAAGATCGTACATTGGATTACTGATTTATATTTATAGAATTCAAATTCATTTCGACTAGGTGCAAATAAACAACTCTGATTTTCCCGTGAAAAAATTGTTTACTTGCATAAATAGTGAAATTTTCACTATTTCAAATTTAGAGGGATGGACTTGTAATTTTTTGTCAAATACTTCCCATAAAAGTGTGATTATTGAAATTCTAACGGAAAGACGATTTTGCGTTAATTCGGAAAAAAGTATGTACTGCGAGGTAAATTATTTCCATTGAAACCCATTCATTTGTGATGTTTGAAATGAGCAAGTTACTGAAAAGATTTATTCTAGCACGTGTAATTAACGCAAAAGCCGTCGGGTAATTCCAAAACGCCTGTAAAATAGTATGTGGGAAATTTGAAAGAGATTTTATCAGCGTGACGTGAAATTTCAATTATTAAATTTTATAAAACGAACCGAGCCAATTATTTCTTTGAAAATCACGCTGACCCATTTCTCACGTTTCATACAAAAATTATTTTTTAATTTTACAATGGACCCTCGAAATTGTCCCTCGCGACCCTCCTCCATTAACATCAAACTAGAATTCAAGGCGAGTCTACCTAACCAGTATAGTTTCATCAAAATAATTAATGTTGTAATTTGCACAATACCCCTTCTGGGGCTTGGACGTGCCATTAAATTTCAAGATAGTCCCTCCATTTGCACCCCTCATTAATCATACACCTTAATATGAAATTGTCGATTTTAGCATCGTTAACGATTTATTTTGAGCTGATCTATCGCCAATACAACAACAAACGCATAATTCTCTCAACAAAAACTCCATCTTTACAGATACATATCTCTAATAGCACACCAACTTCCTTTAAAAGTTTATCGCACAAGTGAAGCTCAAAAATGAGATTTAGACTTTTAATACGAGTATTACTGGTCAAAACGATTGAAATCTACAGTTTGACTACACACGTAAAAATTAACAAAAAAAAAAAAAAAGAAAAAAAACAATTACAAATTATTAGTACTAAATTACTAATCAAATTGTAGTTTGTTTTGACCAATACCAGTAAATTTATAAGCCAATAAAATCATGCAATAACTTTGATGTAATGATTTTTAATTAGAACTAACTCTAACGCATTTAGCTCCATATATGTGTTTTTTAAAAAATGAACTAACTTTGAAGTAGAAAATTGTCTTAGGCATCACATTGCAACTATCTGCCCGTAATGGTCCTTACACATGTATCCGTAAGTCTTTACAATTTAATTTTTCTCGTACCCCATATAAAGCTGGATCTTCTGAAATTTTGGTTTGTTATATATATTTGTAGTGATAAAATAAGTGCACAGCGTCACTTGCAACATACTAAGCTACACATGCCGGCATTACCATTGCACCTGAACTTATCGTTTGGAGAAATCTTGTGAAATATTCATTGTTCATCATTAAAATGAAAAAAATTGCCCTAAAAGTCGACTGAAAATAAACAACACCCAAAGCTCGTATACCCCCGAAACCCAAACTTCCCCCTCCCTATAGTAATTATATAGGAGAAGGAAAACAATATCATTTAGCTTTTGACGAGTGTTAACAAAATAATCCCCCCCCCCCCACTGACAGTCACTTACCCTCGCTTCCTCGATGAATTAATTAAAGCTCACGTGCCCGGTCGAAATTTAATATCTCCCGAAAATGCGACGACAGCACCCCGTATGTTACGGGGCGCTCGATACGCCCGCCTTTTTTCATCTTTGTGTTTGGGTTAGCGTGTATGCCTTCCTGTACACAATACAGCTATGCAGCCCCGCTTTTCCCGAAAATCGATAAACCGAGGCTCGCTCGCCGCGCGTACGTGGAAATTCACGAGATGAGCTTCGCCAGGGGCGCTTTGGGGTTTCCATTTCACGAAAGGCTGGGCATGATGTGCAGCTCAGGCGTATATATATATATACATAGGCATTTTGTTTGCAATGACAACTTTCGTTGTGCAGTATTGTGGCTCAGCTCGGTTTTGTAGGTACGACGGCCGGGAATCGGTTTAGCCTTGGGGGCTAAAAAGTGTTTTTTGAAAGCCTTGTTCGAGGGAGATCGAGAGCCAGTTGACGCGAGCGAGTGTACCGGGCGCTCGAGGTACAGGAGAAAAAAAGTACTCGGTGATGGATTTTGCACCTTCAAGCCTTGAGGGTTGGACATGTTTTTTTCGCGAAAATAGCTCTGGAGGCCTGGATGTGTCGATAAACGTTCCGTTAAAAGCACACGATTGTGCAACACAAAGGGAGAGGAGGAATTATTTTTTCCTCCCTTTGAAAATTTTGTAACTCAGTTGTGTTCCCTTGCGAGGTATTTACGTCCGAAAATCTTGATACCCTCGATTCAGCTATAATTATACACTCGGTAAATTTTGCGACCCTAATGTGCTAAGTGTCGGCTCGCGTGATATATTTTTTTCTTTTATCAAACTACACGCGTTTGGTTAATCGATCGCGTGTTGGGGAGAGGGGAGGAAGGTTTACGTGACGAAATGACGAGACGATTTTTTTTTTAACTCAAGGATCCGAAAAGTATGCGCGAGTTGCGGTAGAACGATATAGGTATTTGCGATAAGTACGCTTTTTGCGGTCGTTACAGTGTAATTTATTGAAAGCTGATCGGTAGCAGCAGTTGTTGGATACGAGTGAAATGGTGATTCAAACGTGCTCAAAAGAAGTAAACTTTTGGAACTTTTACCGTAAAACTGTATATGGTAATATTAACGTAAATTAAACTGCGATAAAAATAGTATTGAAAAAGGGGGGAAAATTACAGAAAATCGAGGCAAAAATGTCATCAACTTGAATATTTGCATCCTCACTTTAGCACAGTTTTGCGGTGAAATTTACCGAAGCCCTTATTTTTCGTGTATATATGCCGGTGTTGTTTCAAACGAAATAAAAAAAAAGTGTTATTTCAAGAAACTCTTGTTTACCCTGGTTGTAACAGCTACACTCGTCGCTCAGAAAATCGATCCCTCACAGTCGACGCTGGAGTTTCGGAAAAAAGCACCCGAGAAAAGAGAAAATTCAACTTTCCATCGAAAATTGCTTCCTCTCCGTATGATAAGCCAACCCTTTCATCGTTATTCGGAAATAAGCTACCGCTTACACGCGACTACTGGGCCCACCTGGAATCGACATTGACAAATGTCCTAAAATATGAATGGATCAATCTACATAAATTCGTAACTCGAGGACTCGACAGCGCTCGCAGCGTTGTACAGCACCTATAACTGCCTTGTCATGCATGTGTGTACAATATGTACGCCGCGTATCGATGGGCGACGTTGTACAGGCACTACAGGCGCGGGTACACGGAAAATATTCGGGAATGAAAAATTGATGCTCGTCCGATAATGTCGATAGGGGGAGGTCCGAGTGAGATCGTACGTATTTTTTTTATTTATTTATTCAGAGCGCCTTTATTTTCATTCGTACGAAGCGTGCTCCGTGTGCAAGTAGGGCACTGCGCGTGTGTACGTTATCGACCGCACTTTTGCAAAGATTGAATTTCCAAATCAAGAGTATTTATTACCCACGGCTGATCGTTGACGTTTTCAAAGCGGAATTATTTGTCTGCCGTTATTTCAGAGATTTCTTTATTTTTTTT